AATTACTGGAAGTCCGGGTATATTTGGCGCCAAAGTAAGTAGAGTTTTATATTGCAAAATCAGAGAATTTAATGAGTAATAAAAATACTAATTTTTACTATCTGTTTTAGGGCGTCAAAGGCGACAGGGGTCCGAGAGGGCGTCAGGGTCAGCCTGGACCTGATGGAAAAATGGGCAGACGGTCTCATGACGGTTTAGAAGGCCTTAGAGGGATTCCTGGACTGAAAGGAGACGCCACAGTGGGCCCAGATGGTGATGTGGGCGTTCCCGGAATTGTTGGTTGGCCAGGAGAAAAAGGTAAATGTAAACGTGCAATGATTGCAATTTTTCGTAATAGTTGCTTTAAACCGTTTTAACTTGTATGGAATATGAATAAAACCAACAGAACGAGTTGCCTTTTTCCAAAAACACAAAAAAACAAAAAACTTACTTTATCTTTTATTTAAGGCGACATTGGAGTTCCTGGTGCAGAAAGTACCAGAATTGCCCAACCTGGCGCTTACGGCCCTAAAGGCGAAAAAGGCGATACTGGCTGGCCTGGATCTAGAGGCATTGACGGAAGGGCTAGTTATATGCCCCCTCAAAAAGGCGATTCTGGAGATGACGGCCAAAGAGGTTGGGAATAAAAATAATTTTTTTATAACACTAAACATGCACTTTTATTAGGTTTGGACGGAATCAATGGAAAAGATGGGCGGGTTGGAGCTCCTGGAATAAAAGGTGGGTGTATATAATATATTAGTAAACTTGGATGCAAGTTTGAGTTTAAACGTGCCATTATTTTGACAATTTTAAACACAATGCATTAACTAGGTCAACAAGGAGATCCCGGCTTCTCTTTGCCGCCTCTTCCGGCTCAAAAAGGTGAACGAGGAGACGTAGGCCTTCCTGGAAGAAGTGCTGATCCACCAGAAAAAGGAGTCAAAGGAGATAGAGGCGATGAAGGTTTTAAAGGGCGTAAAGGTGGGTGTAACTAGTGTAAAATCTAAAAAGTTATTGCCACTAACAAATGCCATAACTAAAAGTTTCAAAACATTTTAATACTACTTAACATTAATCAAACATTTTAATCAAAAAACAGGCGAAAGAGGAGAAAATGGAAAAGTTGGACCGGTTGGAGAAGTTGGACCTGCCGGGATAAGTTTACCTTCAGCTCCTTCTGGAATTCCAGGTAAATGAGTTACATTAATTAAAACATTAAATATTCAAACAAGAAACAATTGATTAGCACCATAAACATCAGAGTTAAACTATCGTCTCTTGAACGATTTATTTTCTTTTTGTTGATGAACTGAAAACTCACTGCCAAATCACCAAACATAAGCAAATTAAGCAACTTTTATACCATTTTCATTACCCATCGCACAGGTATGTTTGGTCAAAAAGGTGACAGAGGCCGAGACGGAGTTGATGCCCCAAGAAAAGCTCCAAGAGGCGAACCGGGCATAGATGGCGCCCACGGAAGAGATGGCGCCAAGGGCCAGAGAGGAGATGATGGTAAGTAATTCTTGTAAAAACAATTCACAAGCAAAATCATAGTTGATTTAAATTTTTAAACCACTATTTCTTTTTTTCACAGGACTACCTTCAGCCCTAGCTCAACGCGGAGATCCCGGCGATAGGGGAGAACCGTCGCCTATCAATTTGATACCTGGACCTAGAGGTGAACCAGGTCAACCTGGAACAAATGGAGTCAAAGGAAGGAGAGGCGATAGTGGGCGTTATGGAATAGGTAAAGTGTACAACAAATCATCAAAGTTAACATTACTTTATATAACAAAAAAAATGTTAAAATAACTTTAAAAATATAATTTTTTTCTCATTACACTTAAAGGCGGAAGAATGGGTTTAGCCGGACAAAAAGGAGCCAGAGGTCCTAAAGGCGAGAACGGAACAGTTTTCAATTACACCTGCACTGCTGAGGAGCTCAACCGAAAAGGGGAACGTGGAGAAAAAGGTTTAAGAGGCCCGGATGGACCCAGTGG